GTGGATAAGGGCAAATATGAGTGGAGGACCTGTGAAGTTAAGCCCCTAAATAGTCTTGGGTTTCTTAAAGGTTAAAATCTACAACTCAGTCTGTCTTGAGACCGTTTGCTCTTAGTATTTCCGATACTATTTGATAACCATTCAAATAACACAAAGTACACATACATATTTTTGTGTTCTTCCAAAAATAAACAAATGATACTAATCACAGGGTGAGCAAATACACAGTGCCCTGTACAAATCTCTCCAGAAATAAATTTACATCATGAGCAAAATAAGACAAAAAATGAGAAATATTGTGGATTAACAAGCTAATAATTTGGTCTTCTATCAGGTAACTTTTAATGAACATTGTTTACAAAATAAAATTCGTATGAACATTGAAATAAAACATTAACTATAATACCTGTCTTGTTCTGTGTACACACCAGTATTACATGTATGATAATTTAAAGTTGTTACATTTTCACAACTTGAATGTTACAGCACCACCATACAAATTATTTTTTTTAACATGAGTAGCTAGATAAAATACTCCAAAACATTAAAAAAGGGGCAATGTTACAATGTGTGGAATGAATAATTTCCACAAACAATGTTACAATGTGTGGAATGAATAATTTCCACAAACAATGTTACAATGTGTGGAATGAATAATTTCCACAAACAATGTTACAATGTGTGGAATGAATAATTTCCACAAACAATGTTACAATGTGTGGAATGAATAATTTCCACAAACAATGTTACAATGTGTGGAATGAATAATTTCTACAAACAATGTTACAATGTGTGGAATGAATAATTTCCACAAACAATGTTACAATGTGTGGAATGAATAATTTCCACAAACAATGTTACAATGTGTGGAATGAATAATTTCTACAAACAATGTTACAATGTGTGGAATGAATAATTTCCACAAACAATGTTACAATGTGTGGAATGAATAATTTCCACAAACAATGTTACAATGTGTGGAATGAATAATTTCCACAAACAATGTTACAATGTATG